ACCATATATACTACCCTTCTCAAATGAAATCCTCATGTCCAGTGCAGTCTTGCTGTGCTTTGTGAAATGAGGAATAAAGAGGATTTAAAATAATCCTCGAAAGCTGCACTGGACTGTACACAAGCATCTAGCTGACTTGAGCTTTAGTCTGGCAGAACAAATCATAAATCCATAAAACTTTTGCTAATGTATAATCCATGTACAAACGACACAATAAAAAAATAAACAGAACTCCAGACAGTATTAAAACATGTCATCATGAGACGATTTTGGCACATTCTCGAAACACATCGTGTGTCAGTATTAACTGATGACATGGCACATTCTTTACTTTGTTTATTGCATTGGTCATGGTGCTTGGGCAATGAGTTATTGTCAGGAGACCAGTTGTGTCAGCTTATGTCTGTGCTGGGCAGGATGGCTAAGTCAGGGTGTGGGAGACACCTGGCTCTTAAGGGCTGCCAGGGCCTGCAGTGGTGCCTACAGAGATGGTCATGGTGTGCTGGCAGTAGCCAGCAGGTGGCAAGCTGAGCTTAGCCATCTGCTCTCCCCCTAGGAAGCTGCATGTTTATGAGAGAGAGGGAGGGACTGTGCACTTCTGTACATCATTGCTAAGACCTGTCTCAAGCACAAAAGCAGTATTGCTCTGATTTCCTTTTCTCAGAAAAAAGGAGACACTTTGGAACATGGATTGTGATTTAAAAAAAAAAAAAAGCATATCAGCGCTACTGACATGAGTAGGTGGGAGTTTTGCTTAAGTGTGCCTGGTGTGTTTTTTGTGTGGGGAAACCGCACTTTCATCACACATCAGTGTTCTTTTGTCAGCTGTCAAATCCATGTGACACAAGCAGGACAGAGGAGGTGGACATAAAAGATTAGACTAACAAGAAGCAAACAGGAACGCTGGCATAGGCAAGTGACTGCAATTTAAGACAGAGACCTTCTGCAGGTGCACACTGGTAGCAATACGCGCACTGCTGACGCACTTGGAAAACAAGTCACATATGGAGAATGACTCAAACCTTTTTTAGCTGCCTGCTACACAGCCATCTAGTCGACCATGACTCAAGAAGCTTCTTGCTTTGTTTCATTCTTGACTCTCTGCCAGTGCACCATTAAACATCTCTTCATCCCTGTGAGACTTCTTGTATGGTATAGACACCACAGCAGCGGGCTACGTAACAGGGTTGCTGCCTCCTGTCGCCGGCTAATAAAAAGGATTAGTGAAAGTAGTGTGAGCAGAGGCTCTGATTAAAGCTTGCAGAGCCATGGTGAAAGAAGGAGATGCCCTCCCCGAGCAACTTCAGATCACTGACTGACATGCACATGTCCTCAGACAATGAAGACATTTGAATGCTGATTTCAGTTTCCATGGCAGTGTGGAGGAGGATGACAGGAGTGAAAAGCACATTCGAAAAGCCAGCGTGTCTGAATGTTTACTGTACACATGAACATGCACAAGAGCATGTGTAACGGTGTGGGCGTGCATATGTGAGGATGTGCAGGAAGAAATCAGGATGGGTAGCCACTACTTACAAAGCAGAATGTTTTTGTCTAGATGGAAATATGAAAGCAGCATTTAGATGGTCCTCTCTGCTGAGGGTTTGAGCTTCTCTCCAAATCTCTCATCATTTCCACCTGCAGTGAGACAAGTATGCCTCTGTTCCTCTGTTTGTTTGCATTTTCTGCCTCACATCCAGCTCAGCAGCCCACATCTACTCCTCCTGACAGTCCTCTTTGAACAGTTACAGCAGGGTAATGTTTCTACAGCTTTTCAGGCACAGGCATTGTGTGGCTAATGTCTCAGTCTTCTATCAGGCATTCCGCTGTATTAATACACAGGCAGGCTCCACACAGCATGCTTTTAAAGGCAAAATATCAACATGATTCTAGTGACTAACAAAAATAGGACCATTATTTCAATCAAATCCACATAGCATTCTAGTGGCTAAGTATACAAAAAACTAGGATGGCTTTCTATGAAAGGGCTTCCTCTGCACTCAAACATTATACCGTATTGCCTGTTTTGTCAAATGGGAGTGTACCAAACGATTGTAAATAGCAGCCAAATGATTGCCTTTGTTTTTTTTTTTATTTTATTTCATTTCAAACCTTTGGCAAGGAAAAGAAATCTACATGGAAGTCCTCCTTATTTGCTTAGTCCATTCCCCAGGGAGTACTTTCTGTGATTTCACTGATGAAGCATGTCTGCATTTGGTTAGGGGGCTTCTTTCTATTCTGCAGCACCTTATCCGGGCTCCTTATACATTCAAAATGTTTATTCCAAGGCGCTGCTTAGGGAATACCTCCACCGCTTGTGCTTGCAAAACAGAAAAAAAGCAAAGAGCTTGATAGAGGAAAGGAGAAAAATGAATTCAAAACTATTGCCCTCCTCCCTCATTTTCTCTCCGCCTCCATCTGGAGTAGAGCCTAGTGAGTAGCAAAAGCTGTGATGGGTTCCCCTCAGGCTCATCTCCCTGTAGCTGTAGCGTACACAGTGCTGCTCTATTACACATAGTCCTGCAGGCTGTAGCCAGTCTTATTGTCTAATGGTGAGAGAGAGCAGTACTGGTGCTGGAGGTCTTGCTGCTGCTGCTGCTGCTGGGGGAGCTGTTGTTGGTGGT